AGAATTGAACCAAGGTCCAGTCCATTTTTGGACTGTTTGGTTCAGATGGAAAGAGAGGACAGCCTCAACGTTGAAGTTTAAAGAAAACCAACCCACACAGATCAGTATCTTCTGTTTGACTCTCACCATCCACTGGAACACAAACTCTCTGTCATCAGAACTTTACAGCATCGGGCCAAACGCATCCCCATGAAGACAGAAGGGAAGGAAAAGGAACAGAAACATCCAAGAAGCTCTCCAAACGTGGATATCCTAACTGGGCTTTTGTCAAGTCAGCGAGGAAATCTACAAAACACACTAATAAACAGAAAAAGGAGAACAACAGACAAAAAAAAAAACATTGTCATCCCTTATGTTGCTGGAGTATCAGAGAAATTCAGAAGGATCTTCAACAAACACAAGATCCCAGTACATTTCAAACCCAGCAGGACTCTCAGACAGAGACTGGTCCATCCTAAGGACAAAACCCCCATACACAAACAGAGTGGTGTAGTGTCTGTGGTCCAGTGCAGCGAGGACTGTCCAGACCTCTACATTGGAGAAACTAAACAGCCTCTTCACAGATGCATGGCTCATCACAGGAGAGCCACCTCCTCTGGACAAGATTCATCTGTTCACCTCCACCTCACAGATAAGAGACACTCTTTTGAGGACCAAAATGTGCACATTTTGGATCGAGAACACAGATGGTTTGAGAGGGGTGAAGGAAGCAATTTACTTATGTTAAAAGAGAAAAACCATCTCTTAACAGAGGATGAGGCCTCAGATTTCCACTTTCAAAAACCTATAATGCAACTTTAAGACTGATTCCCAGCCAGTTTTCACACCTGATGGGAACAGAGGGGTCTCATCTGTGAATTAGATTAACAAAGACCTACTGTTAAGGTGTTAAGGTGTGATTTGTCAATCAATTCAATTCAGTTTATTTATATAGCGCCAAATCACAACAAAGTTGTCTCTGGGCACTTTACAGAAACATTCACATACATAAAAGCCAATTAGTAAAGTTCTCCGTCATATGTATGTTTCTCAAACCTGAACCCCACACTCACTGCTCATTGAATTGAAAAAGCTCCTCGGATGAGAAGCAAAACGTCTTCTGTTACAAATAATGTCCAGTTGTTTTTGTATTGAATGTTTTTGAATACTGGGTCTGTCCAACATCTTCCTCCACTATCTGATCCAAATCACTACCAGATGGTGATCAGTTGACAGCTCAGCTCCTTTCTTCACCCGAGTGTCAAAAACAAATGGCCGCAAATCAGATGACAAATATGAAGTCAATCATTGATCTACGACCAAAAAAAAGGTGTCCTGGTGTCAAGTGCACTTATGCACACCCTTATGTTCGAACATGGTGTTTGTGATGGACAAACTATGACTAGCACGAAGTCCAACAATAGAATACCTGTTGGGTTCAGATCAGAGAGGCCATTCCTCCCAATCACTCCCCTCAAGGTCACACTGTCATTACCCACGTGGACATTGAAGTGCCCCGGCAGAATAAAGGAGTCCCCAGCTGGCGCACCTTCAAATCAGCTGTATTTCAAAAGTATTTGCTGCCTCGGTGCTCCCGGGAGCGTGCAGACAGGGAGGAAAAAAGGGAGGAACACTCTGTATTTCTTCGAAATTTAACAAGAAAAGCACCTAAAACAATTATTGGTTTGCTCAGAATTATAGCAAAGGTGTATCTCAGTGGAACTTTTACCTAATAAATGCACTTTAATGGTCAAATTAGCTGCATTTCACCAGGGCGGTGTAGCGAAATGTAGATGGTTTGACAGTTGTTCCAAGCAGTGAGCAGAACAAAGGTAGGAGGCTATGGCAAGCCGATTGTGTCATTAATAGCTGGTGAAGATTCTTAGTCATCCATGACATGGTAAATTCAAAAAAGTTCAAAACAAAAACAATAAAGTATAAAGTAAAGTATAATAAATAAAGTCCAGTTGTTTTTGTCTTGAATTTTTTTGAATTTGCCATTATAGCCATCCATACATCCATCCATTATCTTCTTCCATTTTGGGTCACGGGGGGTCACAGGTGCCCATGTCCAGCAATCACTGTGCAAGAGGCGGGGTACACCCTGGACGGGTCGCAAGTCCATCACAGGGACACATAGAGACAAACGAGACAAACAAAAACTCACTCTCTCACTCACCTAGGGACAATTTAGAGTTACCAATCAGTTTAACATGCATGTTTTTGGTCTGTGTGAGGTACCCGGAGTACCCGGAGAAAACCCACGCATGCACGGAGAGAACATGCAAACTCCACCCAGAAAGGCCCCCGGACCAGGATTTGAACCAGGGACCTGCTCGCTGAGAGGCAGCAGCTCTACCAGTTGCGCCACCGTGCTGCCTGCCATTATAGCCACTTTTACCCATTACATGATACAACGGCATACCTTACTACTCTGGTGCCATCTAGTGGCTGAAAAATGGTAGTGTTCATTTTTGTCAGTCAGAATGAATGAAAATGGTCATATCTCAACCAAAAATAGGTTTATAAATATAGGGGGAAAAAATCCATAAATACGTAGCTTTGGCCTATAAGTCGTAGGGCATGCAAATTATGAAAAAAACCTGTGACTTATACATTGAAAAATACGGTATCTCCAGCTCCTTCGAATTGCAATACAGTACGTGGCAGGGGTCCCCGCTCTCACGGTTTCTATTTGCGTTAGCAATAGAATCTGTAGCTTTACAACAAAACTCCATTATTAAAGGTATGACTCGATTACACAGAGAATAAACTTTCTTTATTTGCCAATGCCATGCTTTTGTTTATATCAGAGCCTCTCACTAACGTTCCTGAGTTTTTCACCTTGCTTTAAAAATTTGGGAGCATATCTGGTTATAAGGTTAATCTTCAGAAAGAGCGAGATGATGCCTGTGACCTCTATAGAAAATACATTTTTAGACATTGTACATTTTAAAAGTAGTTTAAAAAAACTTAAATACCTTGGTGTTTGGGTAACACGAAACTATAAGAACCTCTATAAAAAATAATTATCAACCTCTCATAGTGAATCTTAAGCAGGACATTACTAGATGGCAATCCCTACCTCACACTTTGGAGGATAGAAAAAACTGTCAAAATTAATGTTCTACCTACATTTCTGTATTTATTCTGTTTGTATCCAAACAGGTCTCACTTGTAAATGAGTCTTCGAGGCTCAATGTGATTTATCTGTTTAAATAAAGGTTGAATGAATTTGTTTCAGAGCCTGCCACTTTTCCTTACTAAATCATTCTTCTCCAATCTGAACAGCCAACTATCAGCGTTTATTTGGAAGAAAAAGCATCCACGGATTGCCAGGAAGATCTTGCATCTGCCCCGCAGGCTTGGAGTCATGCCACCTCCTAAGTTCAAGCACTATTTCTGGGCAGCTAATATCAGAGTTACATGATATTATATTGGTTAAGGAAGGATACTCCTTCTCCCAGTTGGGTGGCTTTGGAGAGGGCCTCAATTGCATTCAGAGTCAGAGAGTCAGAGAATCTTTATTTGTCATTCGCATCACATGTGGTACATGTGGTGGAGCGAAATTATGTACACAGGGTCCCAGTTACATCCAACAATTAAATGTAAAAGAAAAAGAGTAATAATATCTAAGATATGAACTAAGAAAAACATCAACTAAAAATATGCTAAGCACTAATAGCATAAAAACATTACGTCAAACAGCAGCACGAACATGAGCATGAATCTGTGTGAGCAGATGAGCACGCATGAACACATCAACATGAAACAGATCAGCAGCAACATTGAAACAGATCAGCAGCAACATGATGTGTTTTTCACAGTGATTATTCTGGTTAGAGATTCATGAGTCTAACAGTCTCAGGGTAGAAGCTGTTCCTCAGTCTAGTGGTTCTACACTTAATGCTCCTTCAGTTCCTTCAGTTCCCCCTCTGCGTTACTTTGCTCTCAGTTGCCTTTAAAACAGCCAATTTCAACATACTTCTAACCCATTTGTGATCTGGACAGTCTCAGTTCAGGAGGGCATTTAACTTGGGGTTAAGATTTTGGAATGCAAGTTTGACACTAAGGGGGCCATCAGCAAAATATATACACTGCTCAGTTCATATAAAGAGACCAGTTTGGACTCTCTTAGACCGAAATGGGAAGTGGACTTGGAGGAATCCATATCACACTCAGACTGGTGAAAGATCATTCAGAACATTTATTCATCTTCAATCTGTCCGAGACATGCTTTAATTCAATTTAAGGTGATGCACTGGCTGTATTGGTCCAAGACAAACTGTCCCAGATTAAAACTGACCTGGACCCTGCATGTAATCTTTGTAAAAAAAAACTCCAGCTATGCTTTTACACACATTCTGGACTTGTCCCAAACTGCAGACCTATTAGCAATCTATTTTTGATACCTTATCTGGGTTACATGGAAAAACTGTGCACCCATCACCATTCATTTCATTGTTTGGGGTGGCCCCTGTGGGTGCATTCTTCAGCAAGTATGAGAGGAATATGATTGCTTTTGGCTCTCTTCAAGCCAGGAGACTTGTTCTATATAGATGGAAAGATTAATATCCCCCGGCATATGAACATTGAATAAGAAGTTATGTGTCGTGTTAATCTAGAAAAGATTAGACATACTCTGAAAGGTCCTGTTGAGAAATTTTGGGACACTTGGCAGCCATTTATATTTTATATTGAAAGTATGTCTGCAGATATTTTTGTGTAGTTGTTATAAAAGTTTGTCTGGTGTGTGTCTTTGTGGCTGATCTGGTGCGGTAGGGGTGGGGTGGGAGAGGATTTTGTTTTGCATGATTTGTCTGTTATGTTTTGAGTGTGAGTTCTGAAAAAAAAAAACAATAAAAGATTTTGATTAAAAAATTATTTGTGATGAACACATAATTTATTGGGTAATAAAAAAAACAAACAGGAAAAAAACATTAAGCTCAAAATTATGATCAGGACAATATATTACAAGATTTCTCAACAGATAAATACTTTTTTGCATTCTATCAAGTTACCTGAATTAGAGAGGAAGTTCCAGCTAATGGAAGGCTCTGGTTTTCCACTGGCTTGACACATCAGAGTGACGTTTGAGCCTTCGTTTACCACAATTTCTCTTGAAAGGTTGATGATTTTAGGTGGAACTACAAGTGAAAAAAAAAGAAAAATATCAAAAATTTATAATTTATATATATACAGTATACACACACTCACACACACGGGAGAACTTCAAACATGTTCCAGGGGAGGTGGGGGACATTGGGTCCGAGTGGGCCATGTTCCATGCCTCTATTGTCGAGGCGGCTTACCGGAGTTGCGGCCGCAAGGTTGTCGGTGCCTGTCGCGGCGGCAACCCTCGAACCCGGTGGTGGACACCGTCGGTGAGAGATGCTGTCAGGCTGAAGAAGGAGTCCTATCGGGCCTATTTGGCCTGTGGGACCCCGGAAGCAGCTGATGGGTACCGGCAGTCCAAGCAACATGTGGCTCGGGTGGTCGCTGAGGCAAAAACTCGGGCATGGGAGGAGTTTGGAGAGGCCATAGAGAATGACTTCTGCAAAGCTTTGATGAGATTCTGGTCCACCATCTGGCGTCTCGGGGTGGAAAGCGGTATGCCACTAACACTGTTTATAGTGGGAGTGGTACGCAGCTGACCTCAACTCGGGATGTCGTGGGTCGGTGGGCAGAATATTTTGAAGACCTCCTCAATCCCACCGGCACGTCTTTCACTGAGGAAGCAGAGCCTGGGGACTCTGGGTCGGGCCCTCCAATCTCTGGTGCTGAGGTCACCGAGGTGGTTTAAAAAGCTCCTTGGTGGCTGGGCCCCAGGGGTGGATGAGATTTGCCTGTTCCTTAAGTTCCTTAAGGCTCTGGATGTTGTTGGCTTATGCGACTCTGCAATATTGCGTGGACATCAGGGGCAGTTCCCCTGGATTGGCAGATAGGGGTGGTGGCCCCCCTATTCAAAAAGAGGGGCCGTAGAGTGTCTTCCAACTACAGGGAGATCACGCTCTTAAGCCTCCATTGTAAGGTCTATTCGGGGGTTCTGGGGAGGAGGGTCCATCGGATAGTCGAACCTCGGATTCAGGAGGAGCAGCGCGGTTTTCATCCTGGTCGTGGAACAATGGACCAGCTCTACACTGTCAGCAGGGTCCTGGAGGGTGCATGGGAGTTTGCCCAACCGGTCTCCATGTGCTTTGTGGACTTGGAGAAGGCGTTTGACCGCGTCCCTTGGGGAACCCTGTGGGGGATACTCTGGGAGTATGGGGTACCGGGCCCTTTGATACAGGCTATTAGGTCCCTGTATGACCAGTGTCAGAGCCTGGTCCGCATTGCCGGCAGTAAGTCGGGCTTGTTCCCGGTGAGAGTTGTACTCATCAAAGGTTGCCCTTTGTCACCGATTCTGTTCATAACTTTTATGTACAGAATTTCTAGGCGCAGCCAAGGTGTTGAGGGGATCTGTTTTGGTAGCCTTAGGATTGCGTCTCTGCTTTTTGCAGATGATGTGGTCTTATTGGTTTCATCAGATCGTGATCTACAGCTTTTGCTGGAGCGGTTCGCAGCCGAGTGCGACATGGCCGGGATGAAGATCA